TGTAAAGCTGGATGAGGCAGGGTGTGCTTCATTTCTAACATGTGCATTGCTTCTTTGTGTGGCCACTCTTGTCCCAGCCAAGGAAAGGCTTCCAGGAGCACAGAACCACTTGCTCTGTTGAGGGCAGAGTTGTAAAATCTAAGAGGAAAGTCATTTGGGCTAAACTTTCTCTATGCTGACAGAGATTTTTGAAAACTGGTTTGGCCTTATCCATACTTAATAAGAGAGCACCAGGAAGGTCATATTGTGTCGTGGAAGTCCAGTGGGCTGTACACTGGGCTCCCAGAATTGCTGTTTTGTTCTGTGTCATTTCATTAAGAGTCATTGCACCTGCTACTAATTGCAATGTAGGTTATTAATAATGAAAGAGTTTTCAAAATCTAATTTATTTCTCCTGTTTCTGGCTGTTCAAACAATGATTATGGATTAATCAGGTTGCTGAATCAATTTGTAAGCTATTTATTCTCTTGTTAACTTTTCTAAAAAAATCTTCTGCTTAAATGTTTCTTCATTGTGTATTGATCCATGTGTGGTTAAAAAAAAAAAAAGAAGAGTTTTTCATAGGCAGATCCCAGCTGACTTTACCTTCATGGTCTTGCTTCTTTTTATTTACAAATGTGAATGTTGTGCAGATGTAGAAGACACAGTTTGTGCCCTCAAGAAACAGTAGAAACCAAACCATGCAAGCACTTGTGTTTCTGAGACATGGAGTACAAGAAAAATACATCACTTGCTACTTCCACACATTTGCTTGTTTGATCAAAGATAAAAACGTGTAGTTTGGTGTGGTACTTGCAAACAAGAATCTTGAGGAGTGTTTAGGATTACGGAACTGGTTCTTCAGCATGTTGCAGTGTCTGTACTCCAGACCTAGCAGGGCAGTGTTCTGTGTTTCAAACAGCTTTAGAATCCCACTCAGACATGATTGTTTTATACCTACTAGTGTTACTAGTAACAGCTAAGAGTAATTGAATGTCAGTAAAGGCAGATGCTTTTCTCTCTGTCTCTCTCTCTATATATATATCCCCTCACCCCACCCTGGTTTTGTTTACTTTCTGCATTTGACAACAGTTTGTGTCTCCTCCATTGCAGTGTTTTCCCTGAATCCTCAGTCAGCCTGTTTGCCTGTTGTTTATGTGGGTATTTCTCCCTGCATCAACAGAAGAAATGTTTAAAAATAGGGAAATGCAATATTCATTCCCCAAAATCCAACCCACCCACGTGTGGGGAAAAAGTGAAGTCTGGGGCAAATGTGGTAACTGTTGCTGCATTTAGTTTATTCAAAATGCATTTAATCCATTGTAAAAGAGAAGGGCAGCAAACTGCAGGTTGACAGTGTCGGTTCTGTAAGCCTGTGAAAATAACTTTACCCGTTGCTGTATGGTAATTGCTAATGACTAAATAATGTTTCAATCTCTTGTAGGATCAGAGTCACACACAAGTTGCTCAGTACCGCCAGGATCACTCTCTGATTATGAGATCCATTGTCCATATGACTGATGCTGCTCATTCGGGAATTCTGCCTCCGTCTCAGCTCACCACCATTAACCAGTCTCAGCTAAGTGCACAGCTGGGGCTAAATTTAGGAGGCACTAATTTGCCACACACTTCTCCCTCCCCTCCTGCAAGTAAATCAGCCACTCCTTCCCCATCCAGCTCTATCAATGAAGAAGATGCAGATGAATCGAACAGAGTAAGTAATTCCATGTGCAGTAGTGAGGAAGCCTCACACATGCTGGATTTTCATGGATGTGGCTGTATCAGCTCAGCTGCAATGCAGTCATGTAAAATACAAATGTTGTGGTATAGTGCAATATGATTAATTTGCTGTTTAGCTTCTTCACTTAAGAAGTTTCCATACTACCTTCGAAATAATAATAAACCTAAGAATAGACAGATTTCTCCCTCTCCCTCTCCCTCTCCCTC